CAAACGTTCGCTTTGCATAAATCGCATTTATCTCAAAATTTAGTGTAGTAAACCGTCTTTGGAGTCCTAACAAAAAATTTCCTTGTGTAATTTTGCTATGATATAGTCCTTCCTAACCTAACTTAAATAACTCGAATGTAAAAGAAGTTTTTAACTTAACAACATTTGTTTTTCGAGAATCACGTGATAGTAAATTCGATCCTGCGCCCTGTCAAAATTCATTTGACAGAATAAAAAAGAAGGCAAAAAGAAGACAAGTTGAATGAAGGCTTTTACGCCATCATCGTTCTTTACCAGTCAATTTCATTGACTCATCCATTAACCCATATGCTTCTCTCTTTTCACAGCCATACACTTACCCAATAAGGTAATATTACCTTGATAGCTGCAACCGAATCAAGTAAGTGTCTACAAGATTAATGTTTAATAACGACGACATTACCTCATTTTCCCGCAGTAAAGATATTACGTACATTTTTATGATTACATTCGACAGCCCGATTACTATATTTTCGCATACAATTACTACATTCCTTACTTATTGCCACATTATCGTCTCTTCATTTATTCCCAGAATAGTGTACCTTAAGAATTCAGAATACGTATATAAAAGGGCATAGTTTTGCGTTAAGGAATAGGATAGACATATAATGAATAATAAATAAATAAAACAGTCTTATAACACATCTAATAAAATACTCACCCCTCATAATTTGTGTTGCGCCCAAAGCTAATTTGTTGAACACACAAATACCGCTCTCACAATTTTGGGCGTAACTCCCCACATGCTGGTTTTACCACGATTACGATCAGGTGACACTATCGCTTAAAAAAATATTGGGATATATATATAATTTTGGCGGAGAGCATAATGTCGGGCGGAATTAATATTAGGATCCGAAAAATTCTGATTTACAGCTATTTTCATAATTCCTGGAACACATGATAAAATTGACCCGAATGGTTTTTCGGTCAATCCGGTTAAGTTATTGATTTCGGCATGATCGGTATGTATGTAAGTTACGTTTCATACATATATAGGTTACATGATATATACTGTATATATGTTTTCGCACAAACTAAACACACTAAACGTGTTGTGCAAGTATTCAATGAAAATTTAATATTATTGAACTTGTCGACATTTACAATGTTAAAATTATTTGTAAAACAAAGTTTGTCTTTATATTAGAAATTTGCGTAATTTTTGATATGTAATTTTTGCATGTAAATAACGTTGGTTAAGTTGACTGTTAATGTAACATATCATATGTACTGTACGATTTTATAATTTTATTCGGCAAACTCTTATGATCATAGATTTATTTCTTTTATTTTTTGGTGTGTTATGTCATGTTTATTCGAATTAAAACTCAGTTAGCAAATCACGACTTGAAGATCATAATCATGGAATTGCCGGATAACACAAATATTGGCATGAGTTGATAAATATTATATACGCACTTATTGGTTCTATTATGCCGAATTCACAAACTTAATCGAATCGGTTGAAGCATCATTCGGTCAATTTTTATCAGGTGTTCCAGGAATTATGAAAATAGCTGTAATATTATAAAATTTCCGGCTGCTTTAAAACTACGCCGGAAGTCAACTTAACTAAACGGACCTCCGATATTTTACAATAGAATTTTGTGCCCTGACCCCAACCCTAACCCTAACCCTAACTTTTAATCATCATTTTACTTATTTGCTATTGGGTGCACCAAAACGCACTGCACCAAATCTTTATTATTTAATTGGGCATTTATTTCATTTTTACTTATTTGCACCAAATATTTATTATTTAATTGGGCATTTATTTCATTTTTACTTATTTGTTATTGGGTGCACCAAAATGCACCCTGCACCAAATATTTATTATTTAATTATTATTTAATTCCTTTTGTCTTCCTTAAAGTAATAATTGACTTTTCCTTGATAAACAACTTTAGCGTTATAAGTAGTTGCATCCACAAATTCAAATGACATTTCATCACTATTACTCTCAATTTTAGCATGTAAAAACCCTAGGGTTCCTTCAGGCATTCCCCAATCTTTACCGTCACAACCACCACTTGATCGGCTTCCTGCTCCAGAGGTAAATATTGCGACAGGTGATGATAGCTTCGGACTCTGATACTCTAGAACATGAGTGTGACCACCAAAATATGCGGTTACCTGGTAAAGTTCGAAAAGTGACAATAAACGGGGCATATGTCTATAGTTTACACAATCACCAATAAGTGGATGATGACCTGATTTTCAAGATATAATATTACTAACATTTAAATTTACATCAAAACAATGATAAGTAGAAATAACATACCAACAACGAAAATCCATTTAGCATCTTCTTGCAATGCTAAACTTTTTTCAATCCAATCCAATCTTTCCTCAACAGCTTCTGAAGTATGTACACCAAAATTAAGAAGATTACTTTTTAACAAATTCTTGTTGGATAAAGTATCGTATTTATAATAAAATATACTAGTATCAATATGTATCCATGCCACTTTAGTTTTCTCTGGACCAAACACTGAAGTGCGAACGTAGAATAAAGAAGGAAGAAAAAATCGATTATTTCTTGACCAATAATAGTCAACTTGAGCTGTTATATTGTTATACCAATCGTGATTCCCTGCGACGCTGTACCAAGGCATTTCTGATAATTTTCCTTTGTATACGTCTAACCAATTCTTTTTCCACTTTGGATCATCAATACTTTTCACTCCTTGATGATCTTTTTTAAAATTTTTATAAAAACTGTCTAATTAAGACGAAATAAATAAATAAATATACATAGAAAATAAATAAATAAATCGGTCAATAAAGTGCAAATAAGAGAATAAAGAACTTACCACCAACATTGACGATAAAGTTAGTATTATATCTTTCTGCCCAACTTCCCATAGCGAAGGCAACATGAATTTGATCACCGTGTTTTCGCCCGGTACCATTTGCATTAAATCCCCAATCACCAAGTACAATAAAATCTAATGTTGAATCATCATATACTTCTTCAAATACTTTTGGATACGGTGACGTTATCATGAAATTTAATTCTTGGCCAAAAGTAATTGTTGTATTTGTTTTTAAGGAACTTTTAGAATTTTTATATATGGAAAATGGGTATAGTATTAAGAGAGTTGTTATAATACACAGAAATATTATCATTAATAAAATTATTAACTTTATTAGTGACTTTGTCATGTTTTTAACTTTTTGGAAGAAAGAATGGTAATCTATTTTGATTAAATACGTATATATTTAATTATCGTCAATCAAGAACTAATATGGTAATCTATGTCGCGGCTGAAACTAGCTGCGACAATCAATTTTAAATTCAACCAGTAAGATCAATTTATTTTTAGTTATATTTACAGCCAATTAGTGCTCCGCACGGATCAGATCGGACGGATATTTTTAAAGATCCGGATCCGATCCGAAAAACCAAATCGGATCCTT